CTGCTCACCTTTTTGTGTAAAATTCTTGTGTTTCTTATGTCTCATACTATCCTACGGTTACCTTCGACTAATGATTCTCGACAGAATCCGAAGCGTCGGGAAAATAAAATTCTTGTTCCAGCGATCGGATCCTCTGCTTCTTGTGTTTCTGTTGGGGGGGGGACAGATCCCGTACTTTACACACGGAGATGGGGTCATTAGGTATGTCAGCTCAAGTTAAATGACCGGCTTGGACTATGGCTGGAGCTTGATGGTAAGCTTGATTGTTCAGCGCACTTTCATCCCTATAACCAATCTGACGCCGTGGCTTAGAAGGTTGCCAACTGGCGGGATAACTCGAATCGCACAGTCGGCCTAGTGTGTGCTTGTGTGGAGTCAGGCTAAAATGACTCCTTCCTACTCTGACTCTCATGACACTCTTACTCTACTGGGGTCCAAACGAGGTGCGATGGCATGCCAGGGAGCGGCTCCGGCCGCGTCAGCCGCCTGCGCCCTCTCCCATCTTCGACCTACTTGCCTTCGTCATGACACCGGACCGAGGTGGAGGAGGCGAGAGAGCGAAGTTGATGGAGTGCAAGTCTACTCTCACTATAAGCCAATTCATGTGCAAGTCACCGGCCCTCTGCCACGGTGGACCTCATAGGATTCGACGGTCGAACCAAGCCGTCAATGTTTTTATGCTAAGCAGCAACAGGTGGCGAGTTAAGCGCTTTCGAAAACCATATACAAAGTTTTTGAGGAAAACATTAAATTCGGAAATCAAATTTTACCTGTTGTCGCCGTGGAGGCTGGCTCTGGAGAGAGATTTCAGCGACATCTGGGAGCATAACAGATGATTCAGTGACGCTTTTTATCACCAGATCTCCCCTGTCTGAGCGCGAAACTGGCGTATTCGGAGTGGCCACCGTTAGGGCCACGCCTCGACACGCACCTGCATCCAACGCTCGAAACACATTCAGCAACGTCGATCGAAGCAGCGTAAGTCTGTCCGTGTTGGTGGGGGTCGAGAGAAGGCTAACACCATTCAGCTCAACAAGAATTTGTCCGGCCCGAAGTTCGGGTACAGCAGTCGCTGGGAAGCCTTCGTACACCTCCTCGATCAAAAGAACACAGGGCTGTCCACTGTTGTGCCTTGGTGTTACCGGCTTGAAAGCACTGTCGGGATGGGTTGCCATGGTATGGACATTGCCTGCTGGAGCAGCATGGTAGGCAGGAACAATCTTCAAGTTCTCTGATTCAGGCAAGCGCAGTTGCACATCAGTCACACGCAGGCCCAGGTAAGTAATTGGGTCGTCTGCCCACCATACTGGTCTCAGTCTGGCCGCAACAAGGTTGCTATTGATCACCACGGCCTGCAGGTGACAGAATTGGAGCAACTCGAAGAGACTAACAGAGGTACTGTGGGAGGGAGAGGAGTGGATATCAGAGGAGTCGGAGATCGAAGTAGAGTCGTCTACAAGACGCGGAGGAGGAATTCGTTGTCTGACTGCGGGCAGGGTTAGGGCGCGGTTGATGCGGCGAGACGGACTGACGGTAGCGCGCGAAACGTACACACAATTTCGCCGAAGGGAGGAAGAAACCTGGGAGTGAGGCTGATTTGAAGGTGGTGGAGAAAAAGAGGTGACCGTTTGCTGGGAGTCTGCGGACAGCACAGAACTGAGCGAGGGAAGAGTTGGAAACTTCGGATCCTCCAAAAGGATTGAGTCTGATTCGGGGAACCATCCCTTTAAAGTACTATATTTATCGGTCTCGTTTTTGGGGGTGCGCAGTGGTTCTTCTTCGGAGACCACGATTCTCGGTTGTTGTCTAATGCGTCCTCCGTCGTCGTGGGATGTCTTGGCAGCAGTCTTATTTTCCAATTCTGCGGATTTTGCATTGTAGGTATCAAAGCTACGTCTCGTAGAAATTCGAGGAGAAAAATGAGCTCTAGTGACTTTTGTGTCGCTACTTCTCCTGTTCCTAGTTTCTAAAATTAAATTGAAGTTGCAATTAAAGCAAAGGATCATACTAACCAGTTATTTTGTGCGATGCAAAAAACCCTGAGTGCCTATTGACACCATATTAGCACGCCTATCCTGCTCCCAGATCAGATACTTCTGAAGGGTCGTACAACCGATTCCCTGACACCTGGGCTCTAGAACAGCATTGACTGCTTAACATCTCGGCAACGCAGAAGCAAATGCAACTTCAATGTAACCCCTGAGGAATTGATTGGTCTTCGGCGATATGAAAAGTAGCTCCTGCAGTAAAGCGATGTTAAAGGGGATGTAAGGGCATCTGGTAGAGCTAAATCCAATTTATGGGATGATTCCCGAGTCCCGAAGAACGGGCATAAAACATCTGCTGTCAAGGTTGAAGCTGCAGTCTTCAAAGTCAAACTAATAAACGTGCCCACAACCAAGCGGATGGAAAGGGAGCCTGGAAAACTTATGAACAACGCCTTCCAGTCGCTGTTTACTGTCGGGACCCATTTAGGACTCGGTTTTGCCTTATCGGGCATCTCAAAGGCGCCAGCCTGTAGCAACTATTAACATAGCTGTAGTTTCTCAGACGCAAAGTGAAGCATTAAATCAGGTCAATTTCCACACAAACCGCAAGCGCATTCTGTTACCAAATGGCGTCGTCATTTAGGGTGACTGAACTGTCTAGGAACTGTTTTTTGCGAAATATCAG